AGGGTTGGCACCCCCGAGTTTTGAACCCGGGACCTTTGGTCATTGAGTTCAACACCCTACTTCTAGTCTACGGGTTCCCTGCTTTGTCGGTTGTGATCGGGAATATGATGAATGTATGTGTATCACCGATCTAGTAAAGGAACAATTAAGTTCCGCTTTGCCCAGGAGCTCGCAGCGCAAACCCTCCAAAATTATGAAAAATTCAATAACGATTTGCGTAAAGATGATAGCAGAATGAAGAAGAATTGACAGCTGGCGATCGGCAGATATTTTTCAAGGCCTTCAAAAATATTCTCTGGAATCTATTAAATGTTTTAACCAAACTGCACAAAACCGTAGGGTAAAAGTCCGTGAAATACAGCTTTCGAACAATTAGCCGAGTTCGCAATTTTGAACTTTATCCCAATAACTTGATCATAAATTCTGGGTCGTAAGTATTCTTAATAGACAGCTAAAGCTGTCTTGCTTATATAGTCTTAGAAGCAGCAAGGCATGCCATTTCTATACACTTTATACCCAAAAATGTCCTCGAATCAGAACGAGAAAACGTCAATATCCATTACTCAAATGAATAAAGGTATATCGAGTTACTTTTGTGTGAATGGCTCAATCGCCAGCGCAGAATTTGTTTTGCAGTGACGAACGATGAGAGGACGATCAACCTACAATGAAAAACAGTGCAGTAGAGAACTAACCGATACGATTAACTGCAAGCCAACAATTCAAAAATCAATAAACTATTTTTCCAGAGAAGTTATTTATATGTCAGAGTGTAAAAATGATATTTTTACAGAAGATTATTGAGGACGGGAAAGGTACGCTTTCTAGGCCATTTTTAGGAGTCCGGCTTACGAATGAAATTACATGGGGCTCTATGACCAACACCTTAAAAATCCTAAACCTCCACGAACAGCTGACATAATACGCAAAACAGGCCAGTTCTTTCCTGTCTATTTCGATGCTATGTCAATTTAACAGTTACTGGGTCACTACCCTTCTGGATCTGACTATTAGTATCAAGACCTTTGAGAAAAACTGCTGAGCAAAGCATTGGACACTGCTCTCATGCAGGGATGCACGTCATCCGCTGGCTGGTTAGCGCCTACGTGGTTACAGTTGTTTGCGTGGGCAATTCTTCCGGGCCTGAAGACGAACAAACGCTTAGGAGGGAGGAGCTGTTGGTTTTCAAGGGGCTAATAAGCATACCACGAGATAAACGTGTGTAAAACATGGGTATTAGGATTGTCGGAAGTGGGCGCATTGTACTAAACTTTCAGACGGTCGACCGTTGTTTAAAGTTTGCCATCCAGTCGCATGCAGTGCCTTCAAAGTTGGAGTGAAAGTTGCCACCGAAGCCCGCCATCAATTTAGAGCTATTTTTATGCAATCTGTTAGAACCGAAGAAGACCGCCTCACCATTATATGAAAGTTCAAAGGGAGATGAGAGGAACAACCATCTGTAGATGTAAGTAGTTCTTGTGAAACCTATAGCTACCTCGATAGTTTTGTATCGTGTTACTTCTTTCATAATCATCAGGTATAACTCTATGGGCTGTGCATATAGATCCAGGAGTCTCAAAGAACCAGTAATCTCAAAATATCCTGAAACTGAAATACTCCTTAGCACTAGCTACTAGATGCGAGGATGCAATTTAAGATGAATTGAGCATAGGCAGTCTTAAGGCTCATTTCATAAGACATTCGGGCAAAAGTACACAAAAATTGAAACTAAATAGGGAGGTGTACACTTCTGAGACGAAGACTTCTTCAGAATCAGGTTTATGTGGCGGACTGAAAAGATTGTCATTCAAAAGTTCTCATGCCACCCCACATCAGTATACCTCATATTATAATCGCAGGATGGGGCGCTCGCCATTCGGGTCACAGAACTTGCTTGTTTCCGTTGTGTCTTGGGACTAAATGTAGAGTCCTCGCAGATAGTCCCATATTGGCCAGGAAGATATGTAGAAGCGGGTAATGACAAAGATAAAGAAGAATGGGGTGGCTGTTTCTACGTTATTAGTCAACACCAGCGAGCCATACACAATCTAGGTTTGGAGCACGTGGGATTTAAATTCAAGATATGCAGCCACAGAAGCCGCTTCCGTAGACATGAGTTGTTAGGAGTCTAGCCTAACCAAATGCCAGCCTTCCTGAGGCGTCGTGCCTGTGACCGACTGCCACAATGATTCCATTGTTAATACCAACTGCCTTCAAGGTCATATGCCTTCGCGATAGCTGTGCCCACGCGATGACCTTGAACCAGGACCGAACAAACAAGCACGCGAGCCCACGCGCGTGCCCAACTGGTCGCAGTTCCTCAAGGGCCACTTCGGTGCCTTACACAGTCGGTGACCTTATTCCGACGCGCCCAATCATGCCACAAGCGAACGCGCTTGACAATTACTTATAAGCCACTGCCACATCTAAGAAAGCGAGCTGCACACGGACCGACAACGGAAAGGCCACTCCGTCCCATTGCAGGGCTTCACCTCTAAGCGGGGACATACAGCGCACCGGCTTTACGTCAGCGGCAACTGCCACCCGAGACAGCAATTCCGGGTTTTTTTACACAAAAAAACTCTCGTCCGGATGGATTCCAAAGTTACACCCTTCTTGCTGTGTTCTTCTTTGGAGATTTCAAAGGGCGTAATTAGACGGTGACACGGAGTCACCGTTACAATATGATTGGTCGCAAGATGAGTGTTTGCGAGGACTTTGCACTGAACTTCAGGGCACAACGGGAACGAGTAGGTCTCGTAATCCGATCAGTTAACACCTCCTTCCTATAATAATTTGTGTACCTGACCGCAATAGACCGGTCAAGAGCCTTGCAGCTCAATGGTAGAATGTTAAACTCAATGACCCATGATTGCGGGTTGGAATACCAGATGCCCAAAACCTAGGATTGTGTATGACTGGGTACTGATGACTAATAATGCAGAAATGACCACTCCGGTCTTATTTATATTTCTCGAAACTCGCTTCTGTTTCATAATACGCCTATGGTTGTCCCCGTTGAAACTCTTAAGCATATATGTTTTTTATTCAAACGAATATCTATAAATGCCAGTTACTGTTTACTGAGTTGAGACTCATCATGTACAGCTGCCGGATCATGAGTTAAACATGGTTGGCAGTTGCTGTATTAGTTGCCACTAACCATCTTCTGTGCCCTCTAAAGTAGAGACAAACAGGCTAACCTGATCTAGGTTCACATTTTGAAAAAAGATGTAGCGATGCCTAAGTCAGCTCTTATTGGAACGGGACGACATTGCACTGATACACCTACAATTTATGACCACAAACATATATTTTGAGAAGCCAGTAACTTAATAGGACTTATTAGGTTGGTCTTGGACGTTCCGCTTCCAAACTTTAAAATTTAATGAGAGATATGGACATATTCCCATAAATTTCTTATTGGGGGTTACTTGAATGTAATTAAGTAGGTAGTCCACGAACTATCAGAATAGGCTGGTAAGTTAACCACACAGATTACACGTCAGAGGGGGGAGACTCAAATCTCTGCAACACTTTCGATTTCTGGCAGTAAACGCCGAGGGCAATTTAGGTTGATTTTGTAACCGTTATGTCTGTCTAACTCTTTTTTGGACAATTATAGAACTTAAAAGGAAAAGTGATGAGAATACTGACATAAATCGGTGTCCCTTCCATCTCCATGCGAAGTTGAGGGTACATGTGCTCCAGTTTCCAGTGGGTGTTGTAGGCACAGCGGTTTGCACTGAGAAAGACCTGTCGATGACCGGAGAGTCGGTTGCTACCGCCTGCCGTATTGATAAAGTCGCTAGCCATGTACATGGGCTCATCGGATACTGCGTCACTTGCCAACTTAAACTGCACAGGAGTGCCGTAGGTCACCTTGCATTCGGAGGGGCAGTCGGTCGGGCTAGACGGAAATTTAAAAAATGAACGTAAGCAGTATTTAACATGTCATTACTACTTCTAATGCTACTATTACGTCTGACTAATTTTCAAAGCCAAACCTTGTTTGGCTTTTTAGAGCTTCGTGTGTTGAAAAAGAGCGAAGCTGCAACTTAAGAAACATACTTTTAAGCCTGCCTCAGTTAATGTAGACTGTGTAAAATCCTCCAGATACCCTAAACACACAATAGTTAACTTCAAGAAGTCAGGTTTGGCAAACATACGCTTTCGATTATAACTCATTAGGCCTGGAGCGTAATAAAAGGAGGGGAAGCGCAGCCAAATCTTAAACAGCTCATAAACACTGTGTGGAAGAGAGGGTTGAGGACGTTCAGGCGTCAAGGTGTACAATATAGTTCTGTCAGGGGCTCCGATAAAGCTTTCATACAAGCCCTAAGACTCCCTTGGCCGGAGATGAATCCAGTATGCATGTTCACACCTGTCAGAGACAGACAGCGCTTAATTGCCTGACACCTGCTTTCGCGTCCTCCTCTCCCCGCCCCACCTCCCCAGGCCTCCTAGCGAACTTGGTTGCAGCTCTTGCCGTCCGAACACCTTCAACCCTCTCTCCCACACTTCGTGTTCATTGGCTGCTTAAAATTTCGCCACACTACTCTACCTTGTTTTACTTCATAGGCCTAGTGATGAAGCACATTGTGACTGGCTTTAGAATAGTGAGATAGCCATCTTTTGACCACCATTACTACTCAACTTGATAGTAGACTACTTTGTGGATACACTTTGTTCGCGCCAACAGTTGTTAATTTGCATTCGCTCATTCAGAAACCGAATCGATCCACAAAAAGTCTTGAAACTTTGTTACAGTTGGTTGCCTAGGCAACATAGATTTGAACTGCTTCTTCCTTCCTTTCGGCGATAGTTTTTGTTCTTTTGTTGCTTTTCGGTAAGTGGCTACCTTCAGAAAGTTTAGGCCACTGTGTCAATGGTAATCCGAAATAGCTGACTGCCGAACTGCATTTATGGTGGGTGCACGGCGCTTCCACAGCACTGAATCGTCCTCAGCGCACCTAACTTGAAACCCATTGTGCGATGTTGGGCGTGTGCAGCTCAGTCGGTTGACTGTCACTTCCAAACCCTGAGCGTGTAGCTATGGTAATAGAAATCCTTACAACAGATAATCGCAAGCAGGCCAGACATGACTCTTCTAAGGTCCACGTCCTTGCGTGCAACATATATCCAGCGAGGAATCCATGTAGGTGTTTAAGACGGAAGGTTGGGCTTACGTCACGCTACAGCGAATAGCAGAAGCCGAGTGAATGTTCGAACACCTCTTTCTCCTCCGCCCTTCCTCGGTCTCTGATAGTACTAGATTATAATTCCCGTCCTATAAACGCCCTAAATTCCCTCCACCACCCTTACTGTTAATTAGGGGTTTAAAATATTTTTACTCCACCTTCCCTCATATTATTTTAGAGGCCCGATGATGAATAATCGAAGGCATACGTACGCAACACCAGACTTCACAAAAAAATTTCTCGAAAAGATTAACTGGTCAGCATGGAACCGCCTGAATGAGCCGCAGACCCTCGGTCCAATTGAAAAATATGGAAAGAAATTTTTATACGGACGTCTTTTTCATGCTATGTCCATGCGACGTTAAATGTGGTAGTGTACCTCAATGATATAAAGCGGGAACTCGTTATTTTTTTGTTACGCAACGGAGTTAAGAATTAAAAGGATTCCACGAAACGACTTCCTTTTTCGGCTGATGGTCCCTGAAGAGGGACAGATCTGATATCAGCACGATTCAAAAGAAAATTAACTGGGGGACGACCCGTTTCTGATTCTGTTTTCTGCTGATGTCTCTGACGAAGAATCCTCGACGGATATCGAAACGTCAGGTGAATAAAAGTGTTGTCAATTCGTCTTCTTCTCAGAAAAGTAACTCTGTAAATGAATTCACGTTTTATAAACTTTCTTAGATAATATGTCAGGCTGTAAAATAATTTGAGTTGGCCCAATTTTGAAAAAACTCGATGCGTTCGGCGGTATTTGAGCCGCC